GATAAATTAAGTTCATCCCCTATTCTTTAAAGCTGTCATACAAAAAAAGTGCTTAATTAAAAGTGACATTTAAAATGTCCCAATCTACAATAATGACTATAGATTAAAATAATGTAAGAGTTTTTGTTTTTAAGCCTTTCTTAATTATTTTACAGCAAAATGAACTATCTATTTTCAAAAAGCAGTTGGAATTGTGTTAAAATTTTGATGAGTAAATAATTAAAAATGCTTGTTCTCTAAATTCTGCTCCCATACTTGCACCCAACACACATACAGGTTTCCATTGCAAAAAGAATTATTGTTGTACCTGCCCTAGCTGCAGAGATATTAAGGCCTCAAATTTAACAGTTGTAAACTTACTTTTTTGAGAAAAATGGTAAAAACTGATAACACACACCTTCTTCAAGAAGCAACAATTATGGTATGCATGTTTTGCAATCCTCATAAAAGTGCTCATTCGTAGCAGAGCTTCTAACACAGGTGCCGGCAAATTATAAAAAAGCCTCGAAATTGGTTCCCCATTTTTTTTTTTTTTTGCAGATTCCGCTTGTTAACAGCACCAAGAATCTGGACAGTTAGAATGACATTACAAAAAAATTACCACTTCCTGGTGTGTGAAAATTTGCAGAGAGATAGCGAAATACTTGCAGATGCCAAATATGTCAATTTAAAGAAAAATGATTTTTTTTTTGTCACTTTTTGGTCCCAAAGAGCAGTCTGCCCCCTCAAGGGTATGCAAAATATTGCAACAAAAGTGACAGTATTGCCGGGAACCATCGCACTAGCCCACTGCACCTGTGCCCCATGAGATCATTGCAACTGCAATCGGAAGAGGGTAGACGATAAAAAATAGGCTACACATCAAGAACACAAGTTATTTATTCACAGCATGGCCGTGCTAAGCATGTTAGAGTTAGTAAGTGCCAAAACAAGACTACCCGTGGCGAGTTTGTCCAGGCTACAAAGGGTATCGTGAAGCACTTGAAACGGGCCAAGAATATTGCTACAAATTTTAAGATTCATTTCTTCGACAAGCAAGAACGCCGAAAAACATGAGTGATGGTAACCTCAGAGTGAAACACTTCATTCTCCTGTAGTAGAAGTTCTTTAGACGTCCAAAAAACACTGTACTTGTCTGTAAATCAGAATTCGGTGCTCTCAAATTTATCCAGTCAGCCTGTTTTAAGACCGAGTGGTTGGTCTCATCTTGAGCTCATATATAATATTGTACCACGTAAATTTTGTTTTGCCGTCTTTCTATATCTTCGTATCAAAGTATATTCGTATCTATACTACGAGAGATGTCATATTGGACGACACAGCATATATTTAGACCAGCTGAGGTTCTTTAAAGGGCACCTAAATCTAGTACAGGTCTCACAAGCTACGCTGCTGATGCTGATCAAACCCGATCGGGACCAAGTGCTCAACGGTGGTTGACTCTCTTCTGCAGCATGCGTAAAGGAGCCAATCACGATCAATAAACTCAATCTGAACGGGGTCCGATCACGATCAAAAGGGCTTGTGTGATGCTGGTATAAATACAAGCACCCATCAAATTGCAGTGGCCGATAACTGGACCTGTGTCCTCAACATCCCTAACGGAATACCTTTGTTGACGAGCCCCCATGGTGCGATGTATTTCCACATGTCCTTGCTACAGCTTTACGATTTTGATTTCTACACAAAACCACTAGTGTGCCCCTTTTAGGCCATTTCAAGAAGACCTAGAGACCTTTGCAAGCCCAGACAAAAGCGTGCAGTTATGAGATTCAGGCTAGTGTGCGTGTTACACAAGCGATGTGTGTGCATCACGTAAAAAGCTTGCTGTGCTGGTTGGTGCTGCGTGAAAGGCAGTGTGCGTGATGAGCGTTCTCACACAGCATAAACAAGGAGGGTCATCATCACCGCAGCACTAGCAGAAGGAGATACACTGAGTAGCCTGGTTACCTGGGCTTATGCACTGGCAAGCGAATCTTCCAATGGGACAACAACGAACCGGACCGGGTTTTTTGTCTAACCGCCTTCGCTTCTCTAAAACGGGGGAAAAAAAATAAGAGGAAGAAATGAAAGAAAGGCAGCGGTACAGTTGAACCTGAATATAGCGATTGCAGATAGAGAAAATGTACTCCACGTGTACTTAAAAAGGGTAGCCTTTTAGGCCCAGTTGGTAAGGCATGTTAAGACCGTGGGAACAGAGGAAAAACAATGGACAGCACCAAAGATGAAGCAGATGTCTGCCTTGTCTTGCTTCAAGGACATCGTGAAAGAACATGTGATGTGCGCCAAAGCTAAGAAAGGAAGCCAACGCGAAGAAATGTGGGCTGAATAATCTTACACACAATTCTCAGAGACAAAAAAAAAAAAAAAAAAAAAACAACTGTAGATAAATTGTGTTCATTACTGCTTACTATGCACGATTTCATTTTCAGCCTCCTGTCTCTGCTAGAGACAGGTGATACATGTCGTATTAAACAAATTGCAAGAACCCTACATTTCTCAACTACAGCTTGGGTTCATTGAATTACCCAATACTATACAAAACTACACTCAACTTTAATCAGTTATACTATACAAAAGTTTTTTCACCATAGCCAGGCTCGACTGTACATGGCCGAGGGAAGCAGAGGGCAAAAGAGGGCTTACTGCAGCTGCAGATATACTAGTAATTAAGCACCGTCACCAGCCAAGACTCGAAACCACAGCACAGCAGTTCTGTCACAGGGCCCAAGATTTAGCACACATTTAAGGTTTTCGATACCACCCAACATCCGCATACAACCTTTGAACCACAAGCTTGGTTTCTTTAAGAAAGATGAGAAACAACATGAAGATTACAGAAGCTACCACAACAAGCACATACACACGTTTACCTACAATCTCTTAGCACAGATGTGACACACCTACCTCTAGAAAGCTCCCAGTTTCGTAGAGAGACTTTCAGAGCAGAATAGTGTATTTGTTGGAAAATAGTGCCATGATTATTCTGTCTTACCTTCAGCTCTCATCTTAGCTATTGCTTTTTTGCTAATGTACAGACTGTAGTGACATCTCAAGTACTGCACCAGACCTAGAGCTTAAGAGTGACTGTTTGGTGGTATACGTGAGTGATTCACTAGTCTAGCATGATCATATCAAATTTAAAAATTCACGAAGAGAAAACAGACGAGCTAGCAAAGAAAACTATTATTCTCCAAGAAGCGCAAGTTGCCCCTCTTTCCTGGCCTGGAAGATTTCTCTAGAATGCCACAGGAAGTCTATCGGCCGAGTAGCTCATAGGTGGTCACATAGAAAGGTAGACTTGCTCGTGAATTCACCGAGCAGGAATATGTGTTAACAGACTTTGCTCCGTTGAAAAGTGTGGTCTTTAGTAACAACGCTTAAAAAAAAAAAACTACACAGTACTCAATGGCTTGAGCTGCTCTAATTTCAAAACAAACTCAATCTGGAAATGTTAGACATATGTCATTTGTTGTAGAGTAAAATGCATGTTTGTGACTGCCCGCCGGTGCCTCTTTACAGCCTTGTATAAGCTTTAAAAAATAAAAATAAAAAGAATACCTTAATGCACCTACATGAACACTCAAACTGAACAGCAATATTAACAAGAGCTCAGCCTTACTTGCAGACACTGCTTACAAATCATACTGTGCCGACTAATTTACCATTTATATTACCATTAACTTCGTACACCTATTACACAAGGCTTTTCCGATTATGATTACAGACTGAATTTTAATACAGCGATTCTCTCTCTTTTACGGCATGAGTAAAAGAGCGAAGTGCAATAAAAAATTGAAGGTATCAAAGGTATCAATTGAAGGTATTACAATGGTATCAAATGCACTTTCAAAGCGATCACCACTTCGCAATAGACATTCACCTGATGTCCCACTAAGTTTACTCCTGTGACTTATACATCAAGGACAGACACGAAGGCACACAGGGAAGACTATGAAACGTACAATGTATACCATGCTGACAGCTGCTCCACTTGGAATACCCCAAAAAGCAACAGTGTTAAAAAATGTGCAAATATAAAGATGAAAACTGATGAGGAAGGCAACCACAGACAGACACAAAGCACAAGCAGCCAGCTAGAAGCAGCATGCAAGCAGCCACATGCACAACAACATCAACACATCAACAACAAACAACGGAGAGGAGCACCTTCTTGACATCTCGGGTGCGGAAAGTGACGAAAGACCGGGGAGAGCTTCCACACGTGGCAACAATGCAGCAAAAGTGCCAGGAGCCTAGGACTAGCTTCAGCCCGAATGCAGACACAGCCCTTCTGGCTATAGAAGAACTTCTTAATTGGCGAGATGGGATCAATTCACGTAAAAAAACCCCGAGGCACACAACACAATGGAAGTCTCGCCGTCTGCTCTTGTGGTGTGTGCATTTTTTGCCCCTAAAGCAGTTTCTTTGGCTATGTGGCCAAGGCAGCCAAATTCTCTTGTTATTTTGTACTTCCTAGAGTCTTTTGACAAGCACCCACAATAACAAGTGTCCCGATTCTGTCCTTCAGCTGTTGGTGTGATCGTTTCCTAAGTACCCAGTTTAACCCTCCTGCTCCTTTCAAAGGTCTGTACTGGCTGTTTTCGAGACATCACTACCACATAATGATGCTGAATATAAGCATCTTGTGGGATCCACATGAAGTTGATCGTCTTGCAGAAATTATGGTAAGAAAGTTAACCGCATGCTGTTAACTTTGTAATGTGCTCTTGGGCCTTCCATGTGCCAAAGGCATATTGGAGCACAAGCCCATTTTATTTATTCCGGTACTTTCGTCTTCACGTACGTCTAGATCGTTACTGAGAATACCCTTGCTTTTGCCGCGGCTTAGCTAAGCTGGAGTGTTGCCACGCGTGTATGCAGATGACACCGGGGGACACACTGGGTGGGGGGCAACACCGGGGTGGTGACGACTGTGCTTCTACACTCGAGTGATGTGAGGTGCGCGCCACAACACGTGGTTGGTGTTGGTGGTATACCTGGGCGGCCTGAGCGGGTCGGAGGGGCAGAGAGGCACCAGGTCAGAGGAGCGGCCGGTGCCCGACACCGAGGCCGACTTGGTGTGACCCCGGGCTCGCATCGGCGTCGCCCCGCCCCCAACCTCCTCCAGCAGCGAGCTGTTGCTGTGGTGTGGCGGCACATGCCACGGTCGGCAGCAGGGAGGGGCGGGCAGCAAGCGTCAGACACAGTGATCGCCTTTGGCTGTCTAAAGCACCCCCTCCCTCCCTTCTACACCCCCCCAGTTCTTAATTTCCTTCTCTTATTAAGAGCAGGAGTATAAAACAAACAGCCAGGGACATACAAGTTTTCAGTTCATGTGGCGAACAGTGCAAACAACAGTTCTAGAGGCGACAGAAGAAAGCTGAGCTAGCAAGTAAATACTCATCATAAAAGAAAGCAACACATGCAAATGTGAACACAAGAAAGCAAGAAGTCAACACAAATGCCAACTGTAAGAGAAAAGGGTGCACTGCTGCAGCAAAAAAAAAAAAAAGGCAGACAAAAGATTATCTGCACATGTGCAGGCACGATAGCGACATCCCGTCTTACCAGCAAACACACAGACAAGATTTTGTGTTGGGTACTTTCTCTTTCGCTGCTGTGTGTTACTCCAGATAGTGGTTGGCATTTTGTGTTGACTTGTTCTTTTGTCTCCACATTTGTATGTGCACATGGTATCATCGCTCTAGTGATTTGCACTGTTAGCCACACAGGTGGCAAGGCCAGCTAGAGCAGGCAACAGTCAATGGGAATGTAGCTAGTGTCCATCTTGCAGACTGAAATAACATGTGGCGAGGCAGAACAGACAGAGCGGCAAAAGCTCTCAGCAAGCCATGTTTGGACTGCATTTCGACCTCACGAAAACTGCGCCACTCAAATTTATGCTGAATGGTCAAGCAAGCGGATGAGCAGGTTTTCTTGTGGTAAGCGTTCCCTTACAAGTACAGGCAGCCTCTGGCTTTTATAAAAAAAAAAAAAAAGTGAAGAGCAAATGCAATCTTGCACAACGTCCTTGGTGATACGTACAAAGATAAATCCCGTCCACGATTACCGCGCCGGTAAAGACACAACAGGAATTAGGAATATTATGCTCCTGATCACCATTTTCTAACAATTATGTTTCATTACTCAAGTGCCCACACAAAGCTATGGCTCACATGGCTGCACAGTTAGCCAGCTTTTCCATGTCTTTTCTTCCTTTTTCATGGTTTCTGGAAAAACCCAGTGACAGATAGTTAATAGTGTATGATTTCATACAATTAAACAAAAGGTAATTTCTTTCATTAAAAAAGTAACTTTTTTTTTTCAGTCCTTTACTTATGACATGTGGCTTCCCCTTTTAACCTCTATATAACGATGCTTGGCACAAAGAATGTTATGCCGCCCCTTTAGACAGACAGTAAGGCAGTGATAATAACAGATGAACCTTTCGAAAGTGAACAAAACAGCTCCAAGAAGCCCATATATATTGTTCTGAAGAAAATTCATCTGTTGGAGAACACAAATTAGCACACGTGATAAAAAGACCGTTTTGTGCGAGTGTGCACCAAAGCCGCATGTGCACTGACCACTAACACCTGAACACGAACGTGGATTTTTAGCAATGACGATAAACGACAGCGAATTGCTACTTGTTCTGCCACAGCATAAAGCGACCAACCACTGCCACTTATTGCACTGTCAGTTTTTTACCAGTCTGAAAATTTAGCTCGAAGCATGAAAGCTTACACTTCAGTGGGCATTCGCATGTAACTACATTTATGCGCAAAACAAGTGCTGGAACAATCCGACCGCCCTCGGCTTCATCCCATCTCGTGGCAATGACCAAATATTGATGTTCTACACCAGAGTTGTTCATCTCAATGCTACTAGCCCTGAGGCACCACAGAGCTAGAAAAGAGCTTCTTATTGCCACTTATACGAATGTTCCACAGCATTTCATGCAGCAAACATGGAGTGCCTATTTGCTGACAATGGCGGCTACTTAAATTTAGTTTAGTAACTCCGAATAAAATGCATACATTGACGCACATAAGCAATTTTTATGAAGGTACAACCGTGTTTATTCTGACAACAGAATAAATTCATAGCTACTTTTTACACAACACTGCACCCACGTAGTTGGCCTCAACAGCGATGCGAAAGGGTTTAGCTTTTCTAACTGCTCATAGCTGTTGTCTGGATATCACGTCAATGCAGTTGCCACGAACACCAATGAAGCATAATACTAAGAACCGTTGGGGTTTTACATCCCAAAAGCACGATATGATTAAGTGGCCTACTGCGGCGGAGGGCTCTGTAAATTTTCACTACCCGAGGTTGTTTAGCGTGCACCTAAATCCAAGTGCATAGACCTCTAGCGTTTCGCTCCCATCGAGGAACAGGCACGGCAGCCAGAACTTTATGCTGCCATTTTTCGGGTCAGTAGTTGACGCCAGATGTGTAAATAGCCTGTGCATCTGACATTGGTGTCGCCAGAAAGCTCGCACCTGACGGACGGTCACTAGTAGGTTAAACCTTTCTTTGGAATTGGGTTAATGTGGTCACCAAGAGCCAAAAAGACGTGCAAACTGAACGAACTGTCCCAGTATTGCCTTGTAATATTTGCCTCCATGATCTCCCAGGTATGACAGTGGCTTAACGGGTGTTATAAAGATTGATTGATATGTGAGGTTTAACGTCCCAAAACCACCATATTATTATGAGAGATGCCGGAGTGGAGGGCTCCGGAAATTTCGAGCACCTGGGGTTTTCTAACATATCTAAGCACACAGGCCTACAGCATTTTCGCCCATCCAGCCGCCGCAGCCGAGATTCGATCCTGCTAACCTGCGGGTCCAGCAGCCAATTACCTTAGCCACTAGACCACCGCGGCGGGGCAGGTTTTATAAAGATGTAAAACACTTCAAGAAAGCAATTTAACAAATAACAAAACTAGCCTGCAATGCAAAGACCTTTTTCAACTTTTTTTTTTTGACGAGACGATGTTTGTGAAATCAAAATAGAAAACGTTTATTTGCTACAAAGCTCAAATGCATTTGTATAATATTCCTGAAATGTCAGTGAAACAGCAAACCTATTCATAAGGCTAACTACTTTCTGTAAGACCCTCTAAATAGCAAAGGAATGGAAAACTGCCAGAAATTAAGAAATGCTTGAGCAAAACAAGGCTTGTTTGCAAAATTATGCCATGCACAAGAAGAATGCGCTGCAAACCAGACAAATGTGAAACAGTGACAGAGCGGCTAATCAAGGGCAAATGCAAGGCGTATGATCGATTGATGAGTGTGTGCCGTCACGGCTCAAGCACGAACCTTATATGTATACAGTGTTAGTACCATTAATAAGCAGGTCATACGAGCCTGGGCATTCCAAGAAAAAGACATGCTCGTTTGAAGGGTGCACCGTCAAACTATGGCTATATGAACACTTCTGCACAACAGAGTCAACATTAGAGCTCACTAGGCTTCCCTTTGTGCTTCTAGTGGCCATCATGAACTTAGGTAAAGTGGCAAGCATATTGCTTGCTAAACTAAGCATATTGCTAAACTAAACACTTAATTGCAGTACAAATCATGCGAAATATTTACTCCTAAGAAGAGTTGACCTCTGTTCCTACTTTTACAATTCCTTATGCCCCTACTAACTAGAAAGAGATTATTTTATAACTAACATTCCTTACAGGAAAAAAAATTTATCACTTATGGATCTCTTAATCGACAATGTCCTTAAGCCACAATTCTTTTGCTAGCTGCCTGAATCATGTGTTCCCCACACAGCGTACTCCTCGACTCTTTCTTCTGCATCAGCACATAGCGACCAGTCTGTAAACACACCTTCGACAAGAACAGGCCAACTTGTTTTAGTAAGCGCGTAATACCACATGCTTATGATTGCCTGAGAACTACACTAACTGGACTTCTCCAATAGTTTATCTGGAAGTAGATTTGTAGATATAGGAGTCGGACAGTAAACTATTCCCTCAACATAAAACCTGCACCTTGAGGTACAGCAACACCGATAAAGTCAAGCCACATTTTAGGTAAGCTACAACTTTTCCCTGCGCTACAGGTACTTCAAAATTTCTAGTAAGCTAAAGAAGGCATAGCCCGCCATATTTAATTTAGAAATGTGTCGACTTGAAGCCTTTACTCAACGAATGGCTGACATGGCCGAAACTCTTGCAAACGAGTTCAGCACAGCCCTGCAATGTGGCACAAAGATTATTGAAAAGATAATTGTCAACCACCCATTTGTATTATAGCCATTTGTACTGTATTTGTAGCCAATAAGCAATCAACAGGGATTTCTCAGACAGGACTGCCCCTTTCTCCACATTTTCTCCACAAAGGCGGAGGCACGCAAGCCCAGCACCAACGGTCTTGCACTCTGGACCAACGTCATGAGCCAAACGGCTTTCGGAGAACATCAAGTACATGAGCGGGAATATTTCTTTAGTGGCAGAGGCGATTGGCTGCCGCACTTCAGCCATCTGGACAGGGCCCCTTCGAACCTCTTTAAATTGTATGCGACCACAGTTAAAAAACAACCTTCAGAGTTGAAGTTACCGTCTGAGAAGTCCATACGAGTTCTTCTGTGACTTAGGGCTACAGATAAGTGGTTATTAATCACGCCATAACTCTTGTGAAAATGCTCGAGAATAATGCAATAGGCAACTTGGGCTTGTTCATGTTGGCTGTAACTCCATCCAAACAAGACTAGTCGTGGCTTAAAGTTGAAGTGCATTCCGGATTACCGGGATAACTGGAATCCACCTCCTAATATGCGTATGCAAGAGACCAATGCGCAGTCAGTAGTTCTCTGCTCACCTGGCTGGTGCATCGATGGTGGCGGGGCTGCCGGCCTTGGCCTCGGCGTAGTTGTACGTGTTGCGCCGGGGAATGCCGCTCAGGTTCGCCTTGATGTAGTTGGGCGCAGAGTTGGGGGCCTTGCGCACGGCCGCCGCTGCCTTGGAGGGACTGCTCGTCGCGTTGGTGGCCGAGGAGGCCAGCGGCGTTGTGGTGCCACCCGAGCCGGCCTTCTTGAGGGCCGCCTTGGGGGCCGCCCGGGGGGAACCGGGGCTCTCCCGGGGCACATCCACAGTGTTCTGCCGCTTGTAGGCTGCTCCCCCTCCTGCGGCCGCCGGGGTGCCTGCGCCCGAGGCGCAGAGCACGAGACGTGTCAACAGACCGTTGTCTGAACACTGAACTAAATGTTTAGGGCTTGGTTTGCCTTCAAACTCAGCGCAGTTCTTTAGGAGAGTTTCTCCGTCTCGACTACAATTGAACACCTATATAAGAGGCACTGATATAAGAGACAAATGCGTATAAGAGACACCAGTGTGCCTAGAGTAAAACACGAGTTGATAAGAAAATGCATACAAAGTACCCTGCTCACAGGATCTCGTAAACAAGTCAGTGCCTCCTCTACTTTGAGATACCTGGCGCGTTAGCACGAAATCAGCCATCCAAACCTCTCCCGTTTACGCACGTCGCTGCCGCCCGCGACACTGTGTTCCGACACTATCTTGTGCCCCGTCAGCGAGTGCATATGCCTTGCGGTAACACAATCGTAGCGTGCATTAGATCGTTATTTTCCTTGTCGCCCTGCATGTGGGGCTACAATTTAGGCTTCAATACTCGGTAAAAAAAACCACACTATATATGCCACATTTAGGATTTAGGATGTATTTGTCCTGTTCTCGCTGCAGTTTCGTTGCTGTGAACCAGTGTGCTCTTTTTTTTTTTTTTTTTTCCCCTGTTTGTACGAGACACTTGCAGACAATACTCAGTGTACGATGGTTGAAATTCATAGCAAAAATGAACTAGCAGAGCAATAAGCTTTCACCAATCTTCACCTTTTCTTTGCCAAAAAGATGTTAAAAGCCGGAAGAAAATACCTGCCATGAATGAGTTGACTTTACACGAAGACTGGGACTGCCACGATTACCCAAAACATGCAAGAACACAATACCTCATGGAATGAAATGTCTGCAGATAGCGCGCCGCTATCAGACATTTGCATAGTCAATGGTGCAAGGGTGATTAGGGGCTCGAGCCCAAGCCCAGGTATTTTTTCAATTTTCATGTGCCCATCTACACGCATACACAAAAAAGCACGCGTTACATAGATTAGCTGGTTGTAAGCCTTATACACAATATAATTTTGGCTACACTCTATCAGACGGAAAAAGGTTCCCGAAATCTTTGGCGGCACTACGCCAATGTAATGACATGCTTGCCTGTGCAGAGATGTAACAGCTGCAACAACAAATAAAGACAGGCTATTGTATAGCTCATATGCAAAAACTGCAATTTTGGACAAAAAAAAAAGTGACAGCACTACAGTTTTTAAAATGTACAACAAATTACAGGCACCCACAAATACACAAGCTTAAAGGTGCTATCTTTGCAACTTAGTAATTTCTTGGTTCAATTGTCTTTATTTTTAATGAGGTATCTTTATCTTACTGAAGATATGACCAATTCTAATAAGTGTCAGGAACATGGTAACATTTTTTCCCTCATCTCTTTAATTCTTGTCTCGACCCTTTGAAAGTACGCCATCAAGTACGCAGAAATTCTGGATTTTTTTTTGTGTGATAATGATAATTTAGTGATATATATATATTGTAGTGGAGCATACACACCAACGCGTATGTGCCTTTGGGAGATAACGAAAAAGCCCCGTGCTCTGATTGCGCGAGAGCCTGTGCCGCCTTTGCCAGACTTGTCGTACGGCCATTTTTTTGTTGCTACCTCGTTGCGACTTCTCTGCTCGAATAAACATCACAATATATATATTTTGTGAGGCGACGTTCTAGTTGCAAGCCCCTCCTTCATTCGCAGCCAGAGGCCCACTGCTCAGACCAAAGGGATGATAATAGGTGAATATAATAAAAAGACGAAGCGTACAATGAAACGAAATCTACTCACAGTTAAACCCTCAAACCTCTTTAGAGTGAGTAGCGCAGAGACATACTATGACAGGGTGTGCAGAGCGTAGTGTCAGAAGGTCACGCCTACTCGCGGAAAGCCAGAAAAGCACAATGGTTCCGGGCGAACAATAGAAGCCCGGGTGACGTGCCAGGCATCTCAAAGTAAAGGAGGCACTGAACAAGCATAGTACATATAGGCACAATTAATCCTTGGGCAACCGACTAAAACTATCGCAGTTCTTCTACTTGCAGAAAAAATAAGTCCCCGAAACTCTTAGTTGGTTGGAACCTAAAATAAATACAAGCTCTGTTTGCTACACAGCGGCACACTTGTTGATGGCCCATGTAAAGCCATGAAAGATGATTCACTTTCATAGTGTAAATACTTTTCGCCACTAATGCAAATAACGTACATATCAAAAAGTAAAGGTTCGAAGTTTCTACCAAAAACACTAGCTCTCAAGCACTGCAGAGTCCAATGCGGGAAGCCAAATATGACTGATGCAGTAATGACAATCTCCGATGGAGAACGTCAAGTTTCTCCTTAACCACCTGAGAGGGCGTCTGTGTGAGTACACCCAATAGGTATCTAAATTTGGTAAATGGCGCTTAATGCCATGAAAATAAGAAAATGCGACTGGATGAGATGCCTATGCATTTTAGTCCTCTCTAAGCGAGACAGTAGTGCTTGCATTTATTCTTGCTTTGATAGTTCTCTTGGGTGGTTGATCGCTGGGCACAATGAGAAGAGCTACCAACCGGCGCTGGGGGTTGCCGCCTGTGTGGTAGCCCCCGATTCGGTGGCGCCGTGGCTGAGCCTGCGGTGCGGCTTGTTGGCCGTGGCCGAGGCACTACGCTGCACCTTGACGTGGGAAGGGGACTGGTTGGGCGCCGATGGCACGGCCGCCGCTTCCACGCCGCTGGGCCTCAATGTCCGAAGGGATAAGCTGGAACTAGACCTCGAATCACAGCTTTCATTCTGCAACAAATGAGGACGACATGCACTGCAGTTTGATGCAGGACAGAAAGGCCAAGGGAGGTAAGGGAGGAAGAGATCCGTTACCTCAGTGGTCCGCTTTCCTAGCAACAGGTAGTTGGCCATAATGTCGTCATATTTCCTGTTGCGCAGGGAATCCTCTATCTCATCCCGGCTGTATCCCATCGACATCAGGATCTCTGCGCGGGAAGACAGAGCTGCCGTTGCCCACAGGGGCATTCGAGGAGGAAGAGGAAGAGGTGATGGCAGCAACAGCGGCAGCAGCAGGAGAGGAGGAAGAGAGTGAGGGGAAGTCACAGGTTAGTAGACGGCAGTCCCACAACGAAAGAGGGGACGGGCAGGGAGAGTGTCCAAGGCAAAGGGGGACACACGCACGCACACACACATCACACCACAACTCGGGGCAAAAGGGAAGACAGTTAACTCGGCAAGAACAAACAAAGCCAGACAAGAGAATGGGAATCATTCCGCTCGAGCACTTGTATAAAGTGGCAATACCAACAGGCAGCGAACTAACATTCCTTACATATTGCTCATAATGCACTTGCATGAATGCATCTGTAGCTTGGCAAAAGGATGTGTTCTGCACAGCCCCCCTAGGTGATATGAGGCCCTAAAGTCTCGGCCACGATTAGCAAAGGCGAGTCCATTGATGTTAACGCAACTTCCTCGATACACATTTCTTTCCAGAGTGGGAAAGTTCTGTGCAAAGTCATCAGTGATGGCAGTGGACTATTATGAAGCACTGTCAGCTACTGCAGGATAATTTTTACAGGTGTTATCACCAAAAATTCAAATGTGGACAATTTTGAAACTGCTCCAATGGCTTCATATTACTACCAGGTTGATTCAGAATTGTAGCAGAGGCTAATCGAGACTCCGAAACAAACTCGGGGCTGCTCCACGCTTAGAAAACTGCTACAAAGCAACCTCGAATGTTACTTCTATGTACTTATGACTGAGTAACACACATTCCAATCAGTCAATTTCTCTGCTCGCACTTCAATTAACGCCGACAGTGCATTCAGACATGCTGGCGCAACAGCACAATCACGTACAGCTGAATTTGAACAATGAAACATCGCAGATCAATGAACACAAGCGGACACAAATTCAGCCTCGTGCCCTCTCATCTTTGTCTCACCCTGTGCTATTTCTTCATTAAAATTGAGCGTGCACCAAACAGCCGAATTCAAGACGCCTTACTTGGCGACTTTTCTTGACAAGACTGTGGAAGGCAGAGAAGAAGAGCACATGCCTGCTACCGTGCCAATAAAACAGTGCTTAAGTTTACTGATAATTTTCTTATTGGCATAGCTAAATTAAATACTGCTTTAATTGTTGAAAAAAAAAATGAAACAGTCACAGAACTGGTTGGTAAAATGCAGTTATTGTTCACCTTGTGAGAAAGCTTTTTTTTTTTTTTTTAAGACAGCCCCATCTTTTCAGCTCACCCGTTTTTCAAAGAAACATGGCGCCCATGATGCGAGTGTGCAGCCGCAAACGCGCTGTTCAGTTATCTAAAGAAAATATACTCGTAATGTACACTGAACTATCAAAACATTCCTCCAATTCATAATTTTCGTACGTGTTTTTTCTAAATGCACGAACAATCCGACTGAGTAAAACCGAAAGCAACCGCAAGTTGCTGTACAACTTGTGGAGCAACAGGAATTGTGCAGATGCCACGCCTCCGTAGCCTTCGCTTGAATGTCGAGATAAATTGTCGCTGAGTACAGTAAGGTACTGCTGCCAGTAGCTACAGAGTACAGCTAAAATTACGCGCGATGATTGCTGCCATTACAGTGCAGGGCTTTGGACACTTGATATGCTAGGAGAGAAAAACTGACAACGTGAAAGGGGTTACGTCAGCAACAATGGCAGACATGACATAGCAATAGCTGAGAGACTTGAAAAAACAGTGGGAAGTTGGACGTCATAATTATGACTCAGTTTTAGCAGTGCTATGGGACTGAACTGAAGAGAGCTGGACAATCAGATGGGGTAGGTTTTGTGCAAACAAGACTAGTGCAATATTGGAGGACATTGACAATTCACAGATGCCGCGATTCTCGCACACTGTTCGTAGGAACGTTTCCAAGCAATCGAGCAGTATTGAGACAAAATGCTTCAGAGGATGCGATTGTTAGTAGCTGTGGAAGCACAAGCCGTTGCTTTAGCAAATACAGGACGCCTTACCTATCCTCTTGGAGTCCCCGAAGTCTGTTTCAGGCTCCAAGTAAGGTTTCAGCTCATCATCTTCATAGCCTATGTTCATCCATTTGTCTTTCATTATCACCTGTTGATGTGATAGCACATGTGGTCATTGTAGACAATATCCAAAGCCCATGCAGTATATACATTCCAGTCGTTCTCCAAAGCGTGGAAAGACAGAAATGCAATGTGTCTATGCTCTGTAGTGCAATGCAAGGGTTTCAAGCACCTGACAAGAGAACCATGGAGCATGACTCCAAAAAACAAAGCCACCACCTTTTGAAATAAGCCAACCTTTTGCTTGATATACACACGATCCATACGACTTGACTGGCATGACTTATAATAAATATTTGTTACTCATACTCTTGCCTTGCGTAATCCAGGTAGTCAGACACACTTGTAATATGATTAACTAAGCATAGCCAAAAGCAACATTCACCATGCTTCCAAGCCTTTAGCCAAGTTAAAGTCAGGGGCCAGAATTACCCCCCCCCCCCCTTAGTTCCCAATAACCAGATTTCGTCAAATAAAATAACACAAGCAAGGCAGACATCGAGAAGACAACGAGAATGTGGGCATTACCTCGAGCGTGGCTCGCTTGGCAGGGTTGAGGACGAGGAATTTTTTTAGAAGGTTCTCGCAGTCGGTGGACATGTAGAAGGGGATCCGGTACTTGCCCCTGAGCACCCGCTCGCGTAGTTCCTTCAGGTTGGCTCCGTCAAAGGGCAATGACCCACTCACCAGCGTGTACAGGATGACACCAAGGCTCCAGACGTCCACCTCGGGCCCGTCATACTTCTTGCCCTGGAAGAGCTCGGGTGCTGCGTAGGGCGGGCTGCCACAGAATGTGTCCAGCTTCATGCCGGGCACAAACTCGTTGCTGAAGCCAAAGTCGGCAATCTTGATGTTCATCTCGCCGTCGAGCAGCAAGTTTTCAGCTTTGAGGTCACGGTGAATAATTCGCTTCTGGTGGCAGTACTGAACGGCCGACACGATCTGGCGAAACTTGGCACGCGCCTCTTTCTCCTTCATGCGGCCGTGGGCGACGAGGTAGTCGAAGACCTCGCCCCCGCTGGCGTACTCCATGACCAGGTAGAGTGTTTTCTCCGTCTCGATCACCTGGTACAACTTGACTATGTTTGGGTGGTCAAGCATCTTCATGATGCGAACCTGCACGAAAACATAGCAGAAGGTAAACGTGCGTTCGAAATAACATGGCAAACTCAAACTAAGACCAAAGCCACCCGAGTTAATTACACAATGGGTGTTCAAACTTTGAAACAACTGCACAACATACATATGCAATTGAGAGAAAGAGTAACATCAGATATTCCAGGCAAAGAAATGTGTTCTTAAAAGCAGCCGCAAAACCTATCACAGCCTCGTATGATAACCACTTATTTAGGTTTATCCAAAACACATCACAATATATGTGCATCCACAACAGCTACCTTAAAACACAGTTCATTGGTTAGCTGTTAGGCATGACTAGTATGAACAGGGCCCTCCTCACCTCTCTGAAAAGTTTCTGTAGACTCGACGGGTTCAGCTGCGTCTTGTCAATGATCTTGATGGCCACCTCTTTTCCCGTGGGCACATGTTTGGCCAGCTTCACCTTGGCAAAGTTGCCCTTGCCAATGGTTTTGAGCAGTCGGTAGCGGCCAATGTGCGGCTCCTCGGAGGTGCGGCTGCGTGGCGCCGACGTCGTGCGTGGCGCAAGCACCGACACCTCCTCTCCCTAAAGCACAGGAACCACACCACTCAAAACACTGCACACATCACAACTTGTGAGCACTACGCCCACACCTGGCAAAACGGCTTTAAAACAGACAAATAAAGCGGAGGTAAATGCAGTAGCAACGTTTTGTCACGCATTAAAATTCAGCAACTAAATTATCATATACTAGAGCCAGATGCAAACCAAAGAAGCGCAATATTTTCTAGGTACTCGTTTGCACGTTAATACAACCAAGTGAATTGAACATACAATTAAGCCAAGCAAAGCATAAAAGAGATTAAATGTTGTGTCTAACAACAGTGTGCTAATGTTGACCCACAAGGTTCAAGCTACACGACCAATGCTCGGTCTGTTCCATTGTGGCTAACACGGTAGAGCATTGGATGCACGATTCGAAGGTTTAGGGTTCACATCCCACCAATGAAATGAGTAATTTTTCATTCACATGCATTAATTTCAATTTACATCACAATTAGTACACTGTAATTAAACCCAAAAATTAACATCCTATATGCTTTGCCTGGCCTGTCTATTCATTTTATTTGGCAAAGCCAAATGCTTTATCGTTCCTGTTAGGTGCTAGTTAAACTACCAAACAGCACCTTTAGCAACAATTACGCACATTCAACCTGGAACACAACGTGCAGTTGTATTTAAAATTGCCACAGTGAACCAAGAAAACACCTACAAATAGCCTTTGCAAATGAAGATTGCAAAAATTGTACTATAAACATGCTTAATAAAGTAACACGAAATCACGCTAAGTCAGCTATGCCACATTCAACACGTGCAAGAAAGAGGAGCTACCCAAGAAACAGCCCAACAAAAATGCTGAAGCAACCAAACATTAAATGCCACCATGAAACTAATGTATCACAATTTACATATGCAGGCAGTCAGTTTTTCATGGTTTACAGCAGTGTGTATAACAAGCAGTTGACTATTTTTGATTAAGTGCGCTAATCAGCCTTGCGGTGCGTTCATGGTTACTGCGGCAGTCCCCAGGATCTTCCCACTTCACCATTGTTTCGTTACTATGCTTTGCTTAGAGTGAATCAAGTCTATTTTTTTTTCGTCTTTTGCAGCAGTATTAAAGTCAATTATTTACATACTCAAAGTAATACTATGACTAATGATGCATATCATCTTCGAAAACAAAGCCTGAGGGTCCCTAAGACGCGTACTAACTATGGCAAACAAAAATTAACTTATCAGGGCGACTGTGGCTATGAACAAAATGTCTACAAATGTTAATTTTAATGTGCCAATGAAAATATTTAAAAAGGAAACAAATATTTACTCGACTCTGGTCTCTGTTAGGATAACATTTTCACTGCTATATGCTTAAGAACAGTTTATTTTGTTGTACTTGCAAGTGTAGCTGATTTATCTATTTATTATGTTATGTATGTAGTTATATTGTTTCATTAACTGTCGCCAGACTGTACAATGAAACCGAGGCCTTTGTCAGGTACCCCAGCCTTTAGCCCTGGCTTCCTCCTTTGTATGAAAGCAAAATAAACTTCACTTAAAAAAAATGCTGAAACTAGTCAAAATGATGAAGTCAAGTCAAGAACACTACATTAGCTTTCGAATGACAACTGTTGAGCTGAAAGCCTCTTGGCAACTCAAAGCAGTCCTGCAAACGGATTTTTATGTATTGCAACCCTTGTTGCAAGACTCTCTGTAGAGAGCAATTATTTTACTCAAAAGTGACGCAGATGCAACTTTCAGAGAAAGCAGATGTGAATACAGAACAAGCATTCATGTGGACAGTGTTCACAGAGAGATTAAGACTTGCAGCATGCTATAGGTACTAGTATTGGCAAGTGACCTCTTCATTCAAAGAAACTATACAGAACCCAGGATTAAAACAGAACAATTATTTGCAACACGCCCATTCCCACAGGAAGAGTAACAAATTTCCAGAACGAAACTTTAACCTCAGAGAAACTCGCATCGGATATCGGTCGACGCTATTGAATCCTGACCTAAGCCCCCAAAATTATAAAACAAAAACTTAACAACAAATTCTGTCAAAATGAAAGAAAAAAAAGTATCCTAATGACACGACAGCATCCAGCCATTGCAACATGCACACCTCACGGCGTATTACAGCCGGCCAGACGCAAGCACCATTTCCAGCACTCACTAAACAGCCAGCCAAGAACGGCACCAACACCACGACAAACTACGACAACCACCACCACCTTAATTGATGCTGCAATGAACACACTCACCGTAGGGAGTTTAGGAGACTTAAAGATTGGGCCCTGAAAACAACAGCAGGGGTTAGTTGGCAAGCCGCGCCTCATTCGGTTGGTTAGTTGTGTTACTTGAAGCAGTGACATTCCAAGAGGCTGAGCAGGACGCGTGTGGGGTAGCTGCCCTCTGAAGGAAGCAAGCCTGATAAGCTCTATCCATGACAAGGGAAATCGTCTGACAAGTTAAGTACACAGCTGGACACCAAGTGACTGTAAGGCAGTGACAAGAGCTCGTCAGGGGTGACCCCAGTGTTACTTCTTATTTTACTTCGTTGGGAATGGGGTGGGCACCCTGAACGTTCCTTCATGGGGGCAGGAAAGCTGGGAACTAATAAGCTGTGTTGTTTTGACACTGTTTCAGCTCTCTGATGGGTAAGACCACCCCCGCAGCCTGACCACTTTGCAGCAACTGCCACCATTCTTTTGGGATCCCACAATAACCAATATGGCCAACAATAACAATATGACACTGCAAAGTTGGCTTCTAATTATGTCACCCCTTAAATACAATAAAAATTTACATACAGACAACGCTGCTTAAAGCTGAAGTTACCATCCCTGCTTATTACTGTCTGCAAAGCCACCACAGCACACTAGGGACATACCAAAAGAAAGCTTATTTAAGCAAAGAGTACAATTCCACAGGTAATGCCATTTGCCAAGATGGCTCAATGATATTGCAGATAAGTAACTGCCCAAACACTTTCCTTACACCACCACTACAGCCCCGCCGCGGTGGTCTAGTGGCTAAGGTACTCGGCTGCCGACCCGCAGGTCGCGGGTTCGATTCCCGGCTGCGGCGGCTGCATTTCCGATGGAGGCGGAAATGTTGTAGGCTCGTGTGCTCAGATTTGGGTGCACGTTAAAGAACCCCAGGTGGTCGAAATTTCCGGAGCCCTCCACTACGGCGTCTCTCATAATCATATGGTGGTTTTCGGACGTTAAACCCCACAAATCAATCAATACACCACCACTACAGATGGAGTGAAGAGTAAGTGCTATTTGAATAAAACCTGCTGCGCTCCACAACTTGTAGCGCCATCTTGACGATTGTACAGAAGCAATAGATGTAACATGGCGGGAATTCTTGAAGAACGCACAAGCTTGACGGTTTAAGTGCACGTAAGTGGTGCGGTGACCCCGGCCTTCAAAAACTTAAAAAACACAAATAGAAAAAAGCAGTTCCTCCTGATCCTAAAATCTCCTAGAAGCACTCTAGAAGCCTTCCAGCAGCAGTGACGATTGATTTGATTGATTGATATGTGGGGTTTAACGTCCCAAAACCACCATATGATTATGAGAGACGCCGTAGTGGAGGGCTCCGGAAATTTAGACCACCTGGGGTTCTTTAACGTGCACCCAAATCTGAGCACACGGGCCTACAACATTTCCGCCTCCATCGGAAATGCAGCCACCGCAGCCGGGATTCGAACCCGCGCCCTGCGGGTCAGCAGCCGAGTACCTTAGCCACTAGACCACCGCGGCGGGGCAGCAGCAGTGACGAGAACACCAATGTTTGTTGCCGAGGCTAATGCAGACAAATCAGTTACTTATTTGTGCATGTTAAGTTTTATTAAGCATTTTGCAATGACGATTCATTTTCTGAAATCTGCATTTAAGAGTCGCGTTTAAGCATAGAAAATTATGCTGCCAATTTTCCTTCTGCAAAAAAAAAAAAAAAAAAAAAAATTGAATGGGACCAACAGAGGTTTCAATATCTCACAATGTGTCATGCAATCTTTCTTAAGGAATGCTTGATCTATAGTCCTAATTCTTTAAATGAAGATTTTGGAGTAATCTTGCAACAACATATTGAAAAACTTGGTATTAAAATTCTCGCCAGAGATGTCACTATTCATTCAAAAGTGTACCTAAAAATTTTCTGGTTGTTTCTTGCCTACGAATTTTTCGCACAAACGTAAACATCTTGTACATCAATCAAGTAAATGGCACATGAAAGCACATTTATCTTCACTTTGATATATTGCATAGCACTGTAAACTCAGTGGCTCTATAACAAAAATTTCCAAACTAAGACATACAAAAAAGGGACAGTTAAACACACACACCACTCATGCATGCCATTCGCGTATTTGTAAATGAAGTTCCTTTGCAACAAACTGCCAGCTTCAGGTAGTATTCGATCTTTAGGCATCACACAACTAAGTTCTTCAACCTTGGTGTTAGGCTTGGTGCAACTGCCAGCGAAGGCGCATTTTGCTTTCAATTATCGTAACATACTAAGCACTGCCACTTCTTAAAAAAACTTGGAGATACTCTCACTGCTTGAATTTTGAGGAGGAAAAAAGAAGAACACCAGTGCAGTCACAAAAAAGCTAAAGCGATGGCCTTTCGAGCGCACATCGTAAACTTATCTTGTGGCAGCTACTACAGAAGTACGTACATTTTCAAGGTACTCACTACGCCATCATTCAGCACTTTACGGAGACGTGATGTACTGAATACGCTTATGTAGGCATTACGTGCACTTTCTTGATGCCGAAAAAGGGCTCTTGTGATCTCATGAAATATTTCACTGAGGGCCTGCTCAACCTGGCAACGCTAATGGGTGGAATCGGCATGCAACAGTTTGAAGCAGAATCTCCCTGAAGACGACAATTACATTGCCGCATTAGTTGCCAGTATTGAATCAGACTTACCTGGTCGGTCGTGACCGACTCATGGACGGTCTGCAGAGGTGTCCGCACACTGGACATGGCGACTGTGAGGGGGCGCAACTTTACTGTCCCTCTGTGAGCCTGGACAAGCAGAAATCGAAAGTCGACATGAGCACGGTGACAACAAAGAATCACTTGTGGTTCACGACAGCAGATCCTTGCTAGACAAACCATCATGGCCTCTAAACAATCTAAGGAATCGCTAAGCAAATAGTATGCCCACATACAACATGAGTATTCTGTCTGTTCACACAAATGTATGTCCTCCTGTTGCAGTAAACCAGGAATAGTGAAAACTCCATTGCTAATGATGCAACAGTCATCATCTACCTACTATCTTCTTCATGAGTCATGGCATTCATGATGACATTGACTAACAAATATGGTTTAGGTAATATTTATATATCAGCTTTATTTCAAAGCTGTTGACAAAACTTCATCTTGAACATTTTGAATCCTGAATACTGTAATTACTAATGTATTTCAACTTGCAGTAAAATAATATTCCCAGGGCTCTAGTCGCTATTGCGTACAAGCTTCTTTCAGTTTATGGGAATTTTGAGTGTAAGAAACACACTCACAAAATTAATTTGGGTGTGAATGTGTGTTTGAATGCGTGCTTCTTGCGCTCAAAATTCCTCTCAACTGTGCACCATCTCGCCGAATTAGAAGTATTATTAGAGCCATTCCTTCAGTTTAAATAACTGCTGCATTTTTGTCGGTTAAGAGTAAACATAATGTTACTTCGTTAAAGCTTGTGAATATCTGTTTAAAATAATATGTGGAATTCTTTAGCTCTTTTTGAAAAGTGGTTACATATTGCCATTCTAGGGCTGCTTTGAAAATGATTGCCGTACTATTAGAAAACTATTTGAATAGTTCATGGTTCATACTTCTATTCGATCTGGGATCATTGCCATTCAATTCGTATTCAGTTCGGTTCTGCATTTCACTATATGCACACCCCTAGGCATAACAAAGCAATGTGTATGCGAGAAAGGAAAATCAAGCACTGTACGCCATTGCAGTAGAAATTAGGGTAATGCACGAATTGCTGGTAAAATTAAGGATTTGCAAACTGAAACAACATCAACAAAGTGCTTGATTGGGCTGATTGGTGCTGCATGGTAGACGAAGAAAGTGCTTAACAGGGCAAGCGACAGGAAGGGATGGAAGAGACGAGAACAGAGCATTCAACTAACAACTAAAGTTTATTGCAAACCAACTGCAATATATAGGAAAACAGGATCCGCGCAAAGCTACGCAACAAAAGCAGTATTACACAAACATGCACCATGCGGCGTACATTATCAAAAACCGGTCATATCAGTGAACCCCAGACAACTAATTTCACAGCCGTGAAGAGAAATTGAGGGTACGCTAACATAGGAAGCACCAAGTCAACTAGATGCATGTCAAGGAATTTCAAATGAAAAACCACTAGACCACCAACTACAATAATCACGAAGAGACACACAAGGGTGACAGAAAGGCAGCAATCCAAGTTAGTAAAGTGAAATAACGTGTTCAACTTCAATAATGCCTGAGTGACATTTGTAATCACTTGTTATAAGTGGGTAGCACAATTCAGATGAATAACAATGTATTTATTAAATATTTTTGATAAGCCAAGATTAATCAAGCATTATTCCAGCTGTAGGTGGGCAAACATATCTAAGCAATTCAAGGGCACCTATGAGGCTTGCAATATTCACACTCTAATACATTCTTGTCACACTGGCCAATTTAGCGTCATTTAGAACAAGTGCACAGAGTGTCGTTTTGCCATCGCACTGGTATACTTGGCCAAATGGTGATGATGTGAATGTAGGCAGCACCACAACGTGCCTGTCATTTTAGGCACTACGATTGCGGCCACTGCATGACACTGCTGTGGCATGTCCCTAGCTTCCACATCTTAAAGTGGGTTGAGGGGGAAGGAACTAGTTCGTGACTGCATGGTGTTTTAATGCATTACAAGATTTCCTAAAACAAAATCAAAGGTATCAAAATCCTGCATACCTAGCTTTCTATATTTAATTTTCAAGCCGCTGCTTTAGGGGCCTCACACATTAGCCGAGCGAGTTTGGCGAAAGTACTCACTATAGAGTACATTTTGAAGCGAATTTCACGACGTGTTCCCACGTGACAGCATGCGAATGACACTAGCATAAAGTGTATTCAAAGTGTCTCTGCCCCAAATTTTGCACATGTCACAGAAGTAAAAGTCCATGCAAACCCTATTTTGGGCTAGAAGGGGCCGTACTGGCATTAAAAACTCTACGAAAAATAACATATCAAGAATGGCTGCTTCTTTGCTTACTGCAAATATATACAAACCAGCGGATAGCCACAGATTTTCCACCTTGCATCATACAAAACATTACGACTGGCAGACAATATTAGACAGCATGGCTTTTGAGTCAACTCCCCGTAAAATGCCTGGGGAAGAAATAAAATGTGGTCCAAATGTGGAAAGCTACATCAACCGAGAGAAGTTGATGCAGCTTCTGATCTTCGACATGCACATTTCTAAAAACAGCAGAGTGAGCTTCAAGTGTGTTGCAGTTTCTCAGGTGAAGAAGTGTTGAGGCCAATACTAGAAGATAGAATGCTTTACCATAAGTGCTTGATGTCTACTATGCTATAGCTAACTGTAAAGAAAGCACAAGTTTGTGACAGTGGCAAGTCTGCCTACAAGTTTGCTGGCACCATTCTATAATACTAGTGTAGTTTACTACCTGTCATGGTCAAAAATGTTTCTCTAGTCAATAAACTACTTATTAATATCATTAAGAAATAAACATCATGCCCGTTTCACACACTAAAGTACTGTATTACACATAAAATAGGCAGAATTTTTGACCAGCTGTTGTCATGAATGATGCTGTCATATGCTCTCAAAGCTCAATCAAGATAGCCGACGATTACTTGCCAGACACAAAGAAAGCACAACTGCCTTCACTAAAAACAACTGTGTTTCAAAGTCAATGAATGAGATTATGACAAGCAAACTGATGCAGATGTGCATATGCTTGATGTACACATGCATGCACAGGATATAGATGTTTTAACCCAGACGAGGAACATGAACTCTGCAAACCATTTAGTTTTCAAAACTTGAGCAAAATAAGTTTGTAGGAACGAACATTTCCCAGACTACTATGCTGAAATCCTGCCTTTCCACATTCGTACTGCTTGTAATACCAGCGTTTTAGAGAGCCCTCCCACTTAATATGCAGTGCAATCTTCAACCGGGAACAAGGTGAATGAAAACTTGGAACCGCTTTTCGGCCGCTGCTCTTACTACAAAGGACAGCCGATTGTGTCCACTGGCACTCCCCATGTGACACCTGCCACGTGCCTGACTTTTTCTTGGCAGCACAGGTGAACGTGTTAGTAATACACCAGGCTTAACCAGTAAAGAGAAAAAAGGGGATGGAAGAGAGAAAGAAAGAAATGTTTAGTGTCAAAGGACCGTGCTTCACCGGCTTTCACGCAAACTGCAAGCCAGTTCAAGGAACGCGCAAGGCCTGGCATGGCATTCATCTCGCAGGGTCTCTGCCAGACCAGCGGGAGCCGCGCTTTATTTATAGACTGGCTGTCGTCTTCGCGGAAGGTCCACGGCCAGTGGAACGGCGGCTGCTGCAAAGGTTGGCCTAGTCACCTTGGTGCTCAATCGCCCTGATTCACTCTCCGTAACTCTCTCACCAGCTCCTAACAAGGAGACACTACACAACATCACAACTGTACATTTAGTTTTATTAGCTTTTCCTTGATTGTAGAATCTAACTGTGCACTCGAGGGGAATCACTATTGGCCAGGACAAGCGATTATATCCTGGTAGAAATGATAAGGACGTGAATTATAGGGACCGATTCAAGCCTCCTTGTCACATTCAAAGGGAGATTTAAGTTTTCTACATCATGTTTAAAGGCAAAAAAAATGGCAAAATGCCGTGTAGCCCAGAGTGAAAGCCTTGAAGCTGAATTATGGAGTCATTCACTTTGCTGTACGCGTTCTGACGATATGATGCGCAAGATAATCAGTGCTCGAAATTGAAGCATGCATATTATCCATCTACACCACTTTATACTGCTTACAAGGTAATAGGAGCAGCATGTTGAGAATCGAAACTGCCTTTGTAGCAACTATAGAAAAATGTTTAGCCGCAGCGAATGTGTGCAGAGTGCATATGTACATGCAGAAACTGCCATGCAAAAATGCGGACTGTTCTCGTGCTAAAATGCACTATTTTCAGCATGTGTTGTGTGTATACAACTTCATGGTTGCCTGAGAGAAACTATGTTATAAATTTTTCACGGTGTTTTCTGCATTGCCATTGACTTCTACCACCCACCTTCATACAATGAAGACATAACCACTATGCCTGAGAGAAACTATGTTATAAATTTTTCACGGTGTTTTCTGCATTGCCATTGACTTCTACCACCCACCTTCATACAATGAAGACATAACCACTACAGAAAAACCGAGTTGGCCTGTTCAGGTGCGATTCCTTGTTCAAAAAAATTTATTTCAGTCACATTTTCTTTCCCGCAGCTTTGGTGAGTAGAAAAAACACTGCCTCAGGTCGTGGTGTGAACACATGACAAAGGTTTTGAAAGTGTGCTTAGACAACATATTTGCTACAGCACACAGCACTTATTCTGATTGATATGTGGGGTTTAACGTCCCAGAACCACCATTTGATTATGAGAGACGTCGTAGTGGAGGGCTCCGGAAATTTCGACCACCTGGGGTTCTTTAACGTGCACCCAAATCTGAGCACACGGGCCTACAACATTTCCGCCTCCATCGGAAATGCAGCCGCCGCAGCCGGGATTCGAACTCGCGACCTCCGGGTCAGCAGCAGAGTACCTTAGCCACTAGACCACCGCGGCGGGGCACAGCACTTATTCTAACTTGCAGAAACTGTGATTTCGGTGCGATAACTCTTTGTATGTTTACTGTTGATGTGCACCCTGCAACCACTATTCATGTTTTCCTCCTCTACAACATTGACCCAACAGCAACTCCTTAAAGAAATTTATGACATCATGAGTAAGTAATAGGACCAA